TTTTTTTTCGCGGTGTCGAGAAATACCACTGAAATTTTTCATCTAAATTCGAGCGGGTGAGGCTTACATTAGCTTATTTATGCTTAATTTAAGCCTTGAAAACTTACATTTACTCAAAGGAATCTAATTTTTGGAGTTATTAGCTGAAGAATTTTAAATTCAGAATTTTTAAATTTTTTAGCTTCAGAATATCAAAAGCTTCAAAAAACTTTTTTGTTTGTGTTTCTTGCTATTTGTCCCTTTTTTTTCCAATTTGCATATTTTACTTGACTGACTGCTCTTTTTTTTGCTCAGATTGTTTTATCAAACCAAGCCGAAAAGCAACGACACTAATTGGGAAAATAATTTGGCTGTAATTTTTTTAAGAATGGTCGGAACATTCTGTGCCTCTTGCACAGTAACCGGCTATCCTTGTTAGTATTTAGTGTTTTGTTTTGCTTACACAATTAAATTGATGATCATCATAAATTGTTCGTTTGTCACCTGGCTCCATGTATTGAAAATTTGTAACACGAGGAAGACGGTGGCGCTGAGCAACGATGGAAACTCTTCAATTGTTTTAAAACTAGGAAAGAAAACCTAAACATGGCACATATTGCGAAGCGTTTGCAACGAACCCTAGAATGACAGCAAGTAGAAACAAGACTGCTCGTATCAGGGCGAAGCCCTGAATATTCCGACTGCCGTTTGAGGTTTCATGAGCAGTAATAACCCAAAAAAATTAAACATAATAAAATAAAATGAAATTTTTTTTTCTAAAATTTGAAATTTTTTAAATGAAAATCATCCCCCTACACGCCATATAATGTACAAAAGATAGATTTCGCTCCTATTATTATATCAATTATGGCATATAAGCTTTCTTGAACCAATTTGGAACGATTTCTAAGGCGGATTAAATCTCCGCTTACGCGTTAATAGCGCGAAATATATCGCGCGTTAATTGTTCCAAGTCGGCCAAAATGGCAATCTTTAAACACCCATAACTTGCAAAAAATGGTCACAGGTGAAATATCTTTTCAAATTTAAGATCAGGACAACAATAGTTTTCGAATGATATTAAAAAAAATCCGTTAAAAATGGCTAGTTAAAAAGTCGAAATTTGTCTGAAGAAAAAAAAAACCCACCCCGAGCACAAATATTCCGTTACTTTCGTATCGAAAGGCGGAACAACAAAGCAACATCAGGCAAAGCTGATTGCATTATTGAAACTGTGAGACTCAACGGACGTCACCTCGGGAATCAATGTTTAAAACTGATATATGATGTAACATTTGCTATATGTTTTAAGCGTTTTCCGATAAGCTTTCAAAATTTATCCCGTTTTTGTAAAACTTGCATAAGCAAAACAAACAGTTTGCTTCAGTCGTGCCTACTTCAATCATGCTTGTTGTTTGGTTTGTCTTCAGAAAGGATTAAGCAACTGGTGTGCATAAACAAAATAAAACCAAAATAAAAAGAAATTAAATGAAAATTTTTTTATCGTGCTATTTAGTTGTAAATGTTTTGACTCTCGTAAGCGAACGTAGCGATATGTTTTTGCTATGGGTAGTTACTTTCTTCAGACCAATTTCGAATTTTTAACTAGCCATTTTGATGGACTTTTTTATATCATTCAAAAGGAGTTTTTGTCTTGAGCTTAAGTTTAAAAAGATATTTCTCCTGTGATCGTTTCTCATGTGTTTTTCGTAAAGCTACGGTGGTTCAAAGAATGCAATTTTAGTCGATTTGGGATAATGAACGCGCGATATACTTCGAGCTATTAAAGCGTAAGTGGAGATTTAATATATCTTAGGAATTGTTCCAAAATGGTTGAAGGAAGCTTATTTGCCAAACTCTCGTTGTTATTAGGAGCAAAAAATTTCACTTTGCAATTGATATGGCGTGTGGGGGATAATTTTTACAATTTATCTCACTACATTTAATTTTTTTATGTTATTACTGCTCTATAGGCCTTATCAGGCAGTCGGAACAATCAGGGCTTTGCTCTGATTTGAGCAGTCTTGTTTTAACTCTAGCTATATATGTTTGTACAAGTTATAGTTTTAGCTTATTGCACTGCCGCTATTATCTATTTGTCAGTATCGTGCTTGAAATTTTTCTACGCCGCGATTGTAAACAATCGAAGAGCAATGGTTTTAATTGCGCAAACTAATCAGCTCACGTGAAAATTGCTACGCTCTTCAATGATTAACCTGTTACAAAGCAACAAGGATTTGTCAATACAACCAAACTTTCCATGATACATTGCGTTGCCTATTTGAGCACTGAATAGGAGCATCGTTCGGTGTGTGTACGTCAGCGGATTTCAGAGGCAAGTCCTTAAACATGCTGAATTTTTTTTCGGCAAAGATCAGAAAAAAACACAAGAAACCAAAAAATTACAAAAATAATGAACAAGCTGGCCTTTTAATGTATAATTTCAAGGCTCTAAAATGGTGTTAGGTTGCGAAAATTAGTTTTTTGTTGTTCCGAACTTCGAAGAAAGCGCGGAATATTTATGCACCCCTTGTTTTTTTTTCAGTAAATTTTGACTAGTTGAGTAAACATTTTTTGACAGAGTTTTCTTATGCCATCTGAGAGCTATTGTTGTTCTAAGCTCATATTTAATCAGATATTTTACCTGTTATTGTTTTTATTTTAAGTTACGGGCGTTTGAGGATCGCTAATTTGGCCAATTTGGATCATTAAAGAGCAATATACTGGTACTTATAACACGCGTAAGAAACAAATTAATGCGTTCTAAATTAAATTGAGGCCAGCAGTCTTGTTGTTTCGAATTTCGATACAAAAGTAACGGAATATTTGTGCTCGGGGTGGGTTTTTTTCAGCAGACAAATTTCGACTTTTTAACTAGCCATTTTTGACGGAGCTTTTTTATATCATTCAAAATCATTGCTGTCTTGAGCTTAAATTTAAAAAGACATTTCACCTGTGATCAATTTTTGTAAAATTATATGGGTTTAAAGATTGGCATTTTGGCCAATTTGGGACAATTAACGCGCGATATACTTCGCGCCATTAACGCGCGATATGCTTTGCGCTATTAACGCGCAAGCGTAGATTTAATCCGTCTTAGAAATCGTTCCAAATGGGTTGAAGGAAGCTGATTCGCCATAATTGATTTGTTACTAGAAGTGAAATTTTTCACTTTGTTTTTTATATGGCGTGTGGGGGAATGATTTTCACAAAAAAAACTCAAATTTTTTTTACAAATTTTTTTTCATTTTATTTTCTTTTTTTTTTCATTTTTTTTCATGTTATTACTGCTTCATAGACCTTAAAAGGCAGTCGGAACATTCAGGGCTCCGCCCTGATTCGAGCAGTCTTGTTCGCTTTTGAGATCGTACAGAAATGTTTCGACATTTTTATTATTCTAGTTTATCCAAATGAACAAAAAAAAGTTGCAAGCCGCTTTTCAAGAGAGCCGATCACCATGCGCAATCGGAATAGCTTCCTCTCCTTTTTTGATGTCACTTTTCATTTCAAATGAAGCATTGGACCATTTCAACGTGGCATTGGCAAATAGCGCACGACGCCAGTGCAATAATTCAATGTAGCAAAAAAAAACACTGAATTAGTCGTATCAGATGTCAAATAACTGGTGGTGGTCAGTGATTGGTACAAGCCATAACAAGTCCGCGTGAACAAAAAAAAAACGCCAATCGTTTTTTGACAAAGCGGCTCATTGCACGTCAATATTTGCCTGCGAAAAAAAAATTTGTCGCTCGCTTATTGTATAGTGCTCAATTTGTTTTTGTCACAAAAGACATGATTGTTTTTAAGAAAGCTAAATGGGATCAAGATGACGCTTTAATTTCCAACTGTAAAACTTTGAAGGCAAACGCGTCTGGTGAATGTTTAAAAAACGTGTTTTCGAAGTAGTATGTACATTTTGAGATCTGAGAAAAAGCGTGACAAATTGCATCGAATGCTTAGCTATTTTGTGGCAGTGTACTCAAAGGTCTTCATTAAAGTTGCAGCCGAATGCTTAAGCCCGAAAACACATTTAACGGAACATAGTCAAAAAGAAGTCGAAGCTTACAGAAACATGAAAGTGTAACCAAATCAAACACCAAGGTCGAAATATGTTCCTGGTAGATCCAAAACATACTCAAATTTTCAATCAAACTTATTCAAACTCGAGCAAAGGAGATAGAAGCACAACAAGTGAAGTCTTCAGACTTTTCGATAAACTGGCGCTTTCAATCCTTATTAAAATTTTATCTTTTATAACCCGCATTGGAGTTCCATGAATAAAAATCGATTATAATTGAGTTTCCTTGTCAGTGTCCACAAAAGTGAAAATAAATCGATAATAATGATCAATTAAAAGTGGATTATAATATTACTATTTTTCAAGGCAACAAACTCCTTTTTTCATCTATTATAATCGATTTTTTTTTCACTTTTGTGGACACTGACAATGAAACTAAATTATAATCGATTTTTCCCACTTTACTGAGATAAGAATTTCAACGCACATTAAGTCTTTTCTACGTTTTAAATTAAAGTTGGTTACGTTGGTTACTTGTTGTTCAATTGAATTTTTTTCTACCTAACTTTGATATTTTTATTACTTTTTTATATTACTCAACATTACCCCCTCCCCTAACATATGCCCATTTAAATCACAAATAAACCTGTTTTATTGACTCTGGCAAATGGGTCGAGTTGTGATGACAACACATTTAGAACCAAAACAGCTTGGATTCATTCCAACCATTTAGAATGAAATAGATTTCATTCTGGAAAAAAAATACTTTTCTTCACTGAAAAACTAGTTAAATACATATTTCTCACAAAAACCAAAGAGTGATTCGTTTTCAGATTTTCGAAAGCTGACTTAGTAACAGCGGAACCTTCGGCTTTTCCGCAGGCTGAGCCCTACAGTCACATTTTATGAAGATTCATCAGGCAACTTTTTCCTTTGTTTTTCGTCGGTACCAAAAATCAAACGAAATCAAAGCTGATATATTTGTAAAATTGCATTGATCCGATCCCATAATTACACGCCGCTGATAATTTTTGGTATATTTAGATAATTTTCATTCTATTAGTTGTTTGCCGCCTGAAAAACAAAATACACAAACTTTGGCGATTTAAATGGATCTTTCACAGATAGGAAATATAACCGAATCCCCCTATAATAACTCTGGAACCAATTATAGTGTGGAAAACACAACCTTCTACAACGATTATGCCTATTACAACTACGACTATTTTGCATACCCGGTGTTTCTTCGCGAGTCTCTAGCAGGGATGTTCCGCAAGCGGATGTATCTCAATCTTTCTATGGTAAAATATAATATTTTTTTTTGTAGCGAGGTATTCTTAGTTAGCGCAAGGCGGCACTTGAACATGATTTTAAATATGAATAAATATGATTTTTCAATTAATGATTTTAGGACGATGAAGATTTTTAATTGATATTTTTTATCATGATTATTCTCAGCATGGTTTTGACAATCATGATTTTTACCAGGGGCGGATCTAAGATTTTCGCGAGGGGGCCGACATTCAAAAATTTTTCGAAAACTTTGTCAACTTTTTTTAATCGACCAAATTGATTTTCCGAGCCCCCCTAAAATATTAAATATACCGTTTTGGGCAAACTTTTTGCGCCGCAGGCAAAATTTTGAAAAAAAATAGGCCAACTTAGGCGTTTTTAGGCACTTTTTGGAAAATTATGACCAAAAATCGAATTTTTTCGGCGCGCGCTCCCCCCTCAAAATTAGTATATTTGCGCTGAAGTCGCCTTTTGAAAAAGTTTTAGGGTTCGTCACCATAAGTAGATATCTCAAGATAGTACTAAGGGGGCCCCTTTGCTTCATCCAGGGGGTCGAATCCTTGAAGGAGGCGTCCGACCCCACCCCTAAATCCGCCCCTGATTTTACTATGATTACAATTATTTTTAAATTATCAATACATTTTTTGATACTTTGAACCTTCACTTTTCACTTAATCTCCATTAAATCTATCTGTTTTTATAAAGGTTTCAGTTTCAAGAAAATTTGTTCTGAATATTTTTGATTTTCAGACTCAAAGAGACGAAATTCGATGAAAGACTGACCATTGGACAAAATTGTGTTTTTTCGGCGCGCGCTTCCCCCTCAATATTAGTATAACTAGGCGCCCAAGGCGCCTTTAGAAAAATTTTAGTTTCAATCAGCCAACAATGGATATATCGAAATAGAACAAAGAAGAACCCTTTGGGTCGGCAGGGGGTCGAATCCGTGAGGGAGGTGGTTGTTCCCCCCTAAACCCGCTGGTGCTTAGAAGTATCAATAAGATTAGGCTACTAGCTTACTTGTTTGGTATCGTGACAAAACTAGTTTAAATGATTGGTCCCGCCTTTTATCTAGAAAGAAGAGCCAGCACGGGATTTGAACCTACGACTTGGGGTTGGTTGCGGGTTTCTTACACGCTACACTAACTAGGCTCGTTTCGACAGCAATATAGAGAAATAAAAATGCTTACTGTTAGAATTAGCCCCATACTGTACCTCGGTTTTTATTAAGGACCACAGCACTTTATTCCGATAGTGCTCTACGGCATTTTTTTCGACTCTAGCAATAACTATCTCTAATAAAACTTGGGCTTAATTTTGAGTTTGGCGAGAAGTTAGCAAGTAGTTTAAAGTAAGCTAAATTTTCAAATGCGGCATGATTTAGTGTTTAACTCAGGTTTTGAATTAAAAGCTCTGCGGCAGAGAGACAAATGTTTTAAGACTAAGCCACAGATTCAGATGGGTTTTTTTCAAAAACAAACCAAACTTCTCGTATCAGGGCAAATCCCCGACTGCCTTTTAAGGTCTATGAAGCAGTGGTAACATGAAAAAAAAATGTAATGAAATAAAATGAAGTTTTTTTTTCGTAAAAACTCAATATTTTTGTGAAAATCAACCTCCCAAACGCCGTTTAATGTATGAAGTGATAAAATTTGCTTCTAGTAACCAGGAAATTATGGCGAATACGCTTCTTTTATCCAATTTGGAACAATTTCTAAAACATATATAATATCCGCTTACGCGTTAATTGTCCGAAATTGATGAAAATGGCAATCTTGAAACCCCCATAAGATTACGAAACATTGATCACAGGTGAAAATTTTTTTCAAAATTAAGCTCAGAACAACAATGTATTTTGAATGATAAAAAAATTTATGTGAAAATTGGCTTGTTAAAAATTCGAAACTTGTCTGAAGAAAAAAACCAGTCCGAGCACAAAAAAATTCCGTTATTTTTGCTGCAAAAGTTAGAGTAACAAGACTGCTCGCATTAAGGCGAAGCCCTGAAAACTTCGAGTGCCTTTTAAGGTCTATGGAGCAGTATTAACATGAAAAAATCAAATGTAATGAAATAAAATTAATTTTTTTAAATTTCAGTTGTTTTGTTTTATTTAAATATTGATAATTTTTACAATATTGTGTACTGCTTGCCATTTTTATACGATTGAATAATGTGAACCTTGTTAAAAATTGATGCAACAACAGCTCACATTAGGTATTTTTTCTTCTTTTTTTAAAAAAAAAAAGCGAATCCGTTCTTCCTTAGATTATTTGATTTTATTTTCGCTGGGGATAGCTCGTAAAACATTTGCTCTTGGCTAAATATATATTTAAACTTGTTGCCCCGCGTAAGTTGTTAGTCTCTTGAAACTATATCAGGCTCAATTATTCCAAAACATAAAAAAAATGCTCTAAATGGTAGATACGATCAGTCCAAATTTTTTTTTGCTACTTAAATAAATTTTTCTTCTATATGACCCTGATACTTTTTTGCAGGTACTGCCTCAGCTTCTAACGGTGCTGATAAATGCCTATGTGATTGGATGCTTCGCTGCACTTGAAGAACTGAGGCGAGGAGAGTACTTTCTGGTGTTCTACCAATCCTTCTTTGACTTCCTCTGTAGCATCATTGGCCTCGCGTACAATTCAATTGTCCTCTTGTATTTTCAAGACCAGTACTGTATTCACAGGCGTTTTCTATCTTGGATGGTTAGTATAAATTTTGAGTCGGCTTACTGCGCCCGAATAGGTCAATATCAAAATTTGGAAACCATAGAAAGGGCAAAGCTTTTATCGTATTGGTTGAAACTTAATGTGTTGCTGTTGAATAAACTGAAAAATTAATTCCTGTATTTGGAGGAGCGGTTTTCAGGGAGGGTTATTATGCTTGAAGGACCGAATCCTTGAAAAATTTCAACCAATCAAAATCGCTAAGCGTTTCTATAGGCTAAACACTTCCTCACAAAATCGAAGTCAATATAAACAGAAAATGTTTTAAATCAGTGGAAAATAATCAAAAAAATTTTAAATTGCGGGTTACAACTTCATTACTATTCAGATAATCATCAAGATTATTGAGTTCAAAATGATAGGAATTTTTCAGTCTTGAAATCTCATCTGCTTATTATCTAATCGGTCAATACTAATACTAATGGCCTGGGTTTATTTTCTTACTTTGAGATTTTCGCGATTTACTTTGAGATTTCGAATACTCAATTCTGATTGGCTGAAAGCAAGCTAAAATTAATTTCAAGTATTCGGTCCCTCAAGCATGAGGGATGCCACCCCGGTTTTTTAGCAGACCGATTTTTCAGCATAAAAAAAGAAATTTAGGTTTGTAGATAACTTTGAGTGACAGCTTTGTAGAGGCAGCACAAATTGACACATAATTGACTGAGTGAGGTAAAATGGCGAGTAATCTGAGTTGATTTTCCCTAAATAAGACAATTATCTCACAGTATGTCAACAAAGTTCTAAGCAAAACTCACTAGATAAACGGCAAACACTGATTCAAGCGCAGTATTATTCTCGTGCCGCTTGTAAGTGCAGCATAGCGAATCGGAGCAAGCGTATTCTACATGCCAATGCTGCGTTTGAAGTATGTCTGTTTAATTTTTATTAATCTGCTAAAAGAACCGGTCTGCTAAAAAAACTCAGCCCACTGCCGAGTGCTATCTCAAATGCGCCAGTCGTCTGAAGAGTATATCGGGGACTATTCTCATGGACGAATGACCAAATTGGCAAAAAACTCATGGGCAAAGGCCAAAAACAAAAAGTCAAAAATCAATTATGAATAAAATGAATCAATTGGCGTTCAACTAAAAAGAATTAAATGCAGCAAAATTTTGCGGCCTTTAAACAAAACCCTTGAAATATGAAATTTGTTTCAATTTGCCGGAGGTTAGTGACAATTTTAAAGCTGCATATTTCTGCCGTTCCTCTATTCGGCTAATATTAATATTAAGTCTCTGAAAAAGCTAACTTTCTATGAGATTTTCGAACTTTTTTCCAAATTTTGGAATACTGAAATCTGATTGGCTGATTTTAATTTTGGCCCATTCGGTCCATCGCCTATCATGGAATCTACCGAGTACATTGTCTGTTTTTCACGCTAGCTATTCTCGGCTGGATTGATTTGTGCAAATTTTTATCCAATACTGATCATAACCAACGATTAATGTTGGAGCTCAATTTAATTCTAGATATTCGTACAGTAGTCTGAATAAAGAACAGTCAAAATATTTATAGTTATGAAACATGAATGGTTATTTATAATTACTTAAGAATCATAATAACAGTTATACAGCTTGAAGCGAATAAAAAGTCAAGCTTCAATGGGCCGTCTCCATTGAGGATTTACTAAAAAAAAGTAAATAAAAAAAATTCAAGGATTTTGTGTATACGTCGATGTGTATTTTCTTCATTTTGTTTTGAACTGGGTTCGAAAAAGTTCTTGCAGTCTTTTGTAGCAATGGCATTTTTGGTTGTTTTTGTGTCGAGTTGATTTGCAGTAGTTTTGGGTCTTATGCACTAAATCAAAATCTTTATATCTTTTAGCTAAAACTAATGCGGCAGAATGTGATTGGCTAATATTAGCCAATCAAATTCAAGCAACATGATCAGGCATGTCAATCAACTGTTCCAGCAGAAAAAAAATATTAGCCGAAGTAATTGAGAAAATGAATCTTAGTCAAATAATAAAACTAATTTCATGTTTTTTTGTGTAATTATACCCAATGAAAAAAGTTCAGTAAAATGGCTTCAACGCGAAAAAAATTTCTTTCGTTTTTGTCATTTAGGCTAATAAATTTATCTGATTTAAATTTTGAATAAAATGCCATACAATGTTGTTTGCATTTGATTGGCTAATGAACCAATCAGATTCAACCATCTATTGACTTAAGATCAAGATGAAAAAATACTTATTTTGGGCCGTTTTATGCATAAGACCCGTAGTTTTTGATGGGTGACGATTCAATAGCAAGATAGCGCCATAAGTAATGGATTCGCACAATTTTCCTAAAAAACGTAGATCGGAAAAGGAAAACAGTGCTCGGGATATTACCGAGCAAATCCGTACTCAGGTAGAGAAACTTTTACGGTTGCATCAGGAGACAGGATCGACATTTTTTTGTCAATATTTTTTTGCTCAGTTTTTTTTTCCTGTTAAGCTTGTGAATAGCTAAACTAACTGCTAAAAACTAATGGATAAAGCCGTTTTAAAAGGTTGAATTAGAATTAGTTACGAATGATTAGTTGCATTGAATAAAAGTTGAGAGCTGTAATCTTTCAACAGTATCAAAAGAGTGGTCTTTTTAGTTACTTCAAGAATGGTGGTTGGCGGGAGACCTGTCCCGACCTTGACCTTTAGTGATATCAAACATACATATAATGGACGGCTCAATATGACCTTGACTGCCGTACCATATTTCCCCCCTTCTAAATTTTGTAATACTTCGATTTGACAAACTAAGTAAAAGCACTAGTGGTATGTTTAACAGAATAGTTTCAGAGTTTCAGTTTTCAGTTTTCTCAACAGTTTCTCGACTACTCTTTTTTTACAGATCTTTTAAAACTCTCATGATTTATGAAACTCTCATGAAACTCTCATGATTTATGTTTTCTACGTTAGGTGGAGTTTTGGGTGAAGGGTCGCTTGCTTGGTCCTGAGAGATTTCCTTCAACGCGTGTCTGACCGGGCTTCCATAATACCATGTTTTTTTCTTCGGTCTTCTCAACAATCTCGAGGAATTTGAAATTGAATCGTCATCTACATCGTCTGTATCTGGGGAAGGTGTCTTTTTCTGCTTTTTCTGTTTGGCTGTGTTGAGGCTGAGGCTGTTGGTTAATTTGAGGGCTCTGGTCGTCACCCTCCGACGAAATCGGGATCCATTCTTGAGCATTTGGAAAAACATGTTTCGGCTTTGAACTCGAAGGTGCTTCTGCGGGTGATTTCGACGTCAGATTTTGCGTTTGCGGGACGGTTGTACCTCCCGATCTTTTTGGGCTGTGATGAAGTGGATCTTTTACCTCTTCTATAATATGTCGAGTTCCGGAGGTGGGTTGAATTTCTGTCGTAGGTTGATGAAATTTAGTCCCAACGCGGACTGGTGGTCCCATCAGTGGTGTGGCAGGGGATGACATGGCGATTGGGGTTATAGTTACCCCTGCCGAACTTGATGACGACAGAGTTTGGTCCACGATCGGATTATTTGGCTTCGGTTCTGCTCCTGAAAAGGTGGATTGCTCTGTTGTGAATCTCCCCTCGGTCAACTTTGGGGCAATTTTCCTAAACCTGGCTGGCAGTTTTGAGGGTGGCAGTAAAACAGATGTCTTTGCGGACAACCTTTTTACTTATGGTGACAGTGGGGCTAGATCGTCCTCTGAGGTCGTTGTTGTGCTGTCCTATATTCTGGGTCTCTTGGTCCTATTCTGTCCGGCTTGTTTTGTTGAACTTTGTTTGCCTGAAAGATAATCGTTTTTCAACCTAAGAGCCAAATGGTTTTTCCGGATAACTTTGCCCGATGCTGTCGTATAAGTGTTTTCCGAAAACTTTACAATGTGTTCATTGAAAGGTCTAAATAACTCCTTGCCGTATCTCCTGTCCAGAATTGTACGAAATACCTCTACTTTAGACAGATGCAAAAGTAATAAATTACGCGTATTACTCTGCGATTTCGAATTTGTCAGTTTCGGAATGTCGGCTCTAAATTTCAACGTTCCCGATGTGAGATTTCTACTGAGTGATGCGGCCAATATCTGATTCCTGTCCGTCAACGTCTTCAAGGCTCCTGCTCCCTGTTTTTGCGTCAATGATCTCCTCAGCGTGATCCATTCATTACCTGACTTAGCCAACTTTTCCAGTGCTTGATAGTATAGTGTCTTGGAGATTGACGTGGTGGGGCCTCGAAATCTGGGCGTGATATCTGGGCTACTAGACCCTTTCTTCACGATCTTCACTCTAGTTCTGCTGTCACAGTTCTTCCTTCTTTTTCCGCGGTTTGCACGTCCCTTTCTAAGCTCCTGGAGTCTAAATTTATTTTGGATTTTCGGACATTAATGACCATTCGGAATTAGGTTTTCTTCTGACCTGCAGCTCGAAAGGCGAAGAATTTGTAACACTGTTTCTATTAATTCTTATGTCCTCTATAATGGTTTTTAATGCAAACTCAATACTTTCGGAGTTTTTCTCCAGTTGCATAACTCCTAATTTCCTTTTGATGGTCTGAATGGTTCTTTCAACTAGGCCATATCCTAGGTGGCCGCCTAATGGGCAGAAAATATATTTAATACCCTTAGAAACGCAAAAAGATTTGACTGCATTGTTTTTAAAACCTGAATATTGGTTTGTCCTCATCGATTGAGGTCTGACTGGGAGACTTCGCCCACCAAAGACCTGTTTGGTCTAACTTGTGTAATCCGCACCCTCAACTGGGACTGCAAATCTAAGCCTAACATACAACGCGTACAATTTTCCGATATGAGGAATTTGGCGGACTTCAAGTGCCAACCCAAAGATGATACATATACTATCAGAGTGCCCATCAATTCAATTCTTTTCCTGTTATAGTCCACATACACCGTGTCTATTGGACATTCCTTCTCACTGAATACTTTTGCTGAAGGTACTGATTTCACAATGTAATCTGCTGTCCTTTTATTTACAAAGGAAGCAGGGCTCCCGGTATCTACTGTAGCTTTGAAAAATG